TTTTTTTTATTTATAAATTTTCACTGCGTCATCGTGAAGTTTTTTTTTTTTATTATATATTATTTTGTTCAACTTGATTGTTACGTGAATCCATTTCATTATTATTTTCTTCTTTGAGTTTGGTAATATTTTGTGTCTTCATTGAATTTAATCACATTTTTCAATTCCATTTCAATGTGTAGTCATCAACATTGCAATACAAAAAATAACAACGAAAAAAAAATGTTCCAAAAATGAAAAAAAAAAAAAAAAAATAAAAACTAAATAAAAAAAAAACGAAAAAAGAAAAAATAATTCCTATACAAAGAAAATTTGAAGTAACGAGGTCATTATATGCTTAGAACACCAAAATCTAATTCACTCTTAAAAAGTCGTAGGCATGAAATCTTCTAAAGGGAGTCATCCACTTTTTAAAAGCAGTTTCTTATCTCATTATACACTTTTATAAATATATTCCCTTAATTTTTAAGTAATGACGCTATCGTTATCAACCCTAAATGCAACATCTTGAGAATTATATTATCCCTTATTATAAACTATAACAAGATCATTCACCCTTAAGAAATGTATGTTCGTACACTTCAGGTGAAGCAAAGTAAGGGATGTTTCGGGAATAGTTTTTTTCAACATATGGAATTAAGGAACTTCTGAAAAGTTTAGGTTTGATTTTATTGCGCATAAATATAGTACAAAAAATAATTTTATATTTTTAATATCAAAGCATATTTTAAGAACAGTATATAAGGTATTATAAACAATTAGATACGTTTTGAATAGTAAAGTGCGCTGAAATCTAGAGTTTAGTAATAGAAAAATTGTTAATTACTTAAATCCTTTTTATGAAACTATATAATAATTTACAACAAAATAGTGAAAAATACATATACACCTATTTAAATAAAATTTTTTGTCGAACAACACATTGAAACATACTACATATTGTATCTATACCAATATATCCAGCTTTAATAACGCACAGAAGAAACTTGTTTCATAAAGAATTTTTGTCACCAGAACAGATTAAGAACTCTTCTCTAGATTTAGTTCTAGACTTTATTCACAAAGCTTTAAGGGGCTTTGTTTAATCAATAGTGAAACTGGTACAATAGGTCTCTTCTGGCCGCAGTACCGGCTGTTGGGCAATTTTTACGTCTACTCTTTTATAAATAATAATAATCTATACCAATATATTATTTAAAAAATATGTTAGTTTGGCTATAGCTAATTTTTATTTGATCATTTCAACTTTTGTTATATTATATATACTATAGAACAGAAGTTATTTTTTATAATAACCAATTCCAGCGAAAACATGTTTAAAAATATAGCAATTCCTTATTTTTATTAAATCAAGTATTTTAACTATATGAAAACTAGGTATATCAAAATATTAATTACGACTCATTACGAACAACTCAAATCGCCTTCAAACGAATCTATAAGACTTCTTAACTGCATTTGTCTTAGCTTTAGTTGGAGTTAACACTAGCTACATTTTGTAGAAAGTAGGGTTTGAGTTTGAGCTGACCTTACGTCATCATGACACCAATTTTTATAATTGGTTATAGTAAGTTTATCTTAGCCACAACTAAAGTGCATAACAAATTTCGTTTAATAAATTTATTATCTGTAGTCAAAATCTTCACTAACGTACTAAGTAATTTTCTGCAGACGATATGGAAATAATTCATACGGAACTTCTGGCTAAGATAGCTAAAGAAGTTCCAGCTGCCGTTTATGTTATCAAAATACAAGCTGGCATTATGTTTTTCGATAAAATTAAAACATATTGAATGCAATTGTAGAAGTAAGTAGTCCACATAATGATGATAAAATATGTGTTTATGGATGAGTTCCTAGGTTGCATTCGGAATCCAATCAGTTTGTTTTAATCATTATAAATTTCAGACGATGTTAGCGATAATGCGCAACTAATCATAATACTGGCAAATAATTTCAGTAAATGCAATAAGCATAATTTCGAAAAATACAGATGTACCTTTAGTTCTCTGTGTTCTCTGAGTTATCAGTTATTGACAAAAAAAAAATGTAAGAAGAGTCAACTATTTTGTTGGTTTTACCTAATACCAACACGCGTCTACCTAATGTTCGATGGTATATACCTAATGTTTGATTGCTAATTAATAGCGAATTTTAAATCTGCAGATCAACAATGACAACAATTGTTTCCATATCACAAAATAATTGTATGTGCAATATAAGGAACATATAACATAAGAGCTGTTTCGGATAATGCCAAATGTCCATCATCAATGATCTTTGAAGACATCTATTGGTCTATTTAACAAATATTGAATTCTAATAAAAATTCACCTATAACCGGAAAAACAAATATATAAAAACCATTATCTATTGGCTTGTTTTTTCGTCTATTATCTCTTTTACTAAAAATAGCGGGAGAGGAATAGACAAATTATAGAAAAGGGGATTTTTAGCATGGGGTAAAAAAATTTATAATAGGAATATATTTTATTAAAAGTGTAAAAACAAAAATCTCTTGTTAAATTAGCAATAATATTAATATTATATAAATATATAAAAACTATGAAATTTTAAAAAATTTTATTTTAAGTTTTTCTATATTGAATATATATAAATACATTGAGTGATAACTTTTTAAACACTTAAAAGCACTATCAGATTGCTATGATTGGTACAGATGTTCTCTACACTATCTTATCTAATCATTTAGATTTCGTATCACAAAATTGAATATATATATAATAAAGACTGTAATTTATAACTTATATTGCTTATATGATAAAGAAAAAACCAAATCATTGCAAATTTAGTAGTGAATCAGATAGACAATATGTTTTACTTAGCAAATTATGAGAAGTATTACTTAACAGTATGTAATATACGTACATATATGTTATAAATACAGTAAACTCCCACTAAAACGAACTGCGAGGTTTTAGTAAAGTCCTTTTTATTTATTGTTCTATATAATGAACAAACCAAAAATATTCTCCTTAAGTAGTGAATGCTCCATACAAGAAGCGTTTACTTACTTATGTTGCTTATATTTAAATCTTTCGAAGTTACATTAATTAAAGCCGTAGTTCCATAATTGCATACATCAATTTATTCTGGGATTTTCAGAATATAGAAACGGGCGGAATCCTGACATTGACATCCCTATGATAGCATTATAAAAAGAAGTCGATACAAATTTTAATAAAACATTGTTGTCCAGGATAAGTTTTAATTTAAAAGTAAGGTACATTTAATTTGTTATAATATAAAATTGCTATCTTATGGTTAGTTTAAGTTGTAGTGACGATCTCGTACCCAAGTAAGCCCACTTGACCTCAAATAATAGCACATTGTAGTGCCACAAAATTGGTATTTAATCATACATAAAGTAGACTAAAGTTCAGTATACGACCAACGCCGAAAGGCAACGACTCCCCCATTAGGGAAAGATGAACCAACCAAGATGGCATCTCGGTCAGGTCGGTAAGAAAATGGAGCCTCGAAGTTTTTTAAATATTCTCCTATTACTACCTAAATATAGACTCTGACACATGACACAGTTTTCTCCTAATCCTCAGAGACATAAACACGACAAAAGTTGTTGTAGAGTAAACGCAGCCTTACAGCATACCTGCTTATTACACAGTGACCCGTCAGCACCGACACCATAGTGCTAAGCAGGTTTCGCCTTAGTTAAAGTAGCTGACTGGTGCGTTTTTTGTACAATTTAGACAAGGTCAACATAGATATCTGACTGCAGGATTCGTCTTTTTAGTTTTGCTTGACTATACTCAGATATTTTTGTTTAATTGCTATTGCAAGTTATTAACTGTTGCAAGTTAGACGCCAATAACTGAGAAGTGAATAAACAGGGAGAAGATAGCTTTGGCCAGCTATCTTATAGTTTATGTCCAAATTCAGTATACATTATTCAATATTCATTGTTAGACTTGTATTCTTGTATCAGTGGTTTTAAATTTAATATATAAATACAGTCAAACTTCTATAACTCGAATTTTCTATAACTCGGACCAAAAACATTGCACCAAGGTTTTAGGCAGCAAATAACATACAATTCTGGTTCCATAACTCGAATTTCTCTATAACTCGCACAAAAATTTTGTTCCGTGGTGTCAGGAATATGGAAAGTAAATTCTATAAGTCGAATTTTTGTTTTAAGTATAAATGTATTTTGCTGTTAGGGGAAGTCCCAAACCAAATGTTTAATTTTTTCTTTCTTAGGTTACTTCTTTGTGCAAATGCCAGTCGTTGGCAGCGTGGTTTACAATAAATAAAATAACTTTCAATACTACTCTTAACGATTATTATTGAGCTTGACAATGAAATTTTTACAGCAAGCTTTCCTATAGATCACGATATTATTGAGCAATACAGCTCTAAATTACTGTATCCAATTCTAAGCGCAACGGAAAGTGATGATGAGGGTTCGGTGGATGTAATTGTTCATCAGCCTTCCAAGAACGAAGTAGAAGACTCATTCAAAATTCTGAATTTTTATTTGCAAACGAATGATGTCACAACTGATGATCACTATTAGAATTTAAATAAAGTGGTATCTCTACTTACTGAAAATAAGTAAAAAAAATTAAAATTCCAAACCCTAACTTCTGAATATTTTTCTTTACTATAACTTCTGTGCTTTACTTGATTTCTTACAAAAATAAAAAAATTGTCTAACTCGAAGTCTCCGTCTCCATAAGTCGAACCTTTTCTTTGCAAAATTGGACTTCGAGTTATGAAAGTTTGACTGTATTTTAAATTAATTTTATATACTTTGAAAAAATTGTACTCACCAATTTTTCGTCATTTACATATTATTACATTATGTTTTAATTTTATATTTAATATTTAAATATTTAATTTAAATTAAAACATCAAATGAATGGTTTTAACATTACCTGAAATATTATAATTGTGATTATATTTATTTGCATAAAAAGATATATTATAATACTATTGTTAAACTTAAAATTACATAATATAAGTATAAGTTATATATAAAATGACACCAAAATAAATTACAAAATAATTGCAAATTAATTGCGCTTAAATTAGAAAAAAATAATAATAATATAATACGAGTATAAAGAAAATTTTAAAGTAATTTTGAAGTTCAAAATAACTCTAATCGCTGTTTAAATCACACAAAATTGACATGATAATTTCAGGCAATTGCCAAATGTAGGAGAATGTCAATTTGAGCTTCCTCTTTTCGATTTAAATATGCACCATTTTTGGTTTCTTCCAGATTTTCCTCACATTAAAAATGTAAAACAACCAAAAGTATCTAAGTATCTGAAAAAAAGTATCTACTGAAACAATTGCCGTTAAGTATCTGGTGCGGCAAACTTTCATACCTTCACGCTTTAGTGAAAATACAATGTTAAGCTTTTCATTTGTGAAAAATTGTTGGCCATATTTTCACCGACGTGGCACGATAATGTTTGGTTTACAAGTTAAAATCAGCGCGATACATACTAGTGATATCTTCTCTATTGAACGAGTATCAAACAACAATTTAAACGTTGTAGTTATTTATTAACTATACTATTTTATTGTTTTTTTTTTTTTTTGATTATTGTATACTCGTTGCTTTGTGTTGTTTTGACCCAACTTAATAGACGAGCATGAAATCTAGTCACGAACTTGATTATGAATAAACCGTGCACTAGATCCATGTTCGCCGACAAAATAGAGTCAGAGAAGAGATCACCAACACAGGCATTTGTTTGGCATGGATAGGTACACCTTTGTAGTGTAGTCATGGATTGGACATTAGTTGGAGTTGGTGTGGTACACTGGCATTGTTAACGCGCAGGAGGAGAACTTTTAACCAACAAAAAAAAAAAAAACGGTCTAAGAACGTCAACA